ACTTCACAAACATCTAATTTGAACCAGTGCTGCATTCAACATACCACATGACACATAAAACTCGGTGTTTATCTGTGTTTATTTTAATATTTAATTTTAAATTAACAAATTGAATATTGTGTAATTCTAAAATATGAATTATAATCTACAGTTTGATATCAAATGTATTGACATAAATTCATGAAATAGTAGTTCAATAAAATTTTGAATGCGAGGCAACAAATGTGATGACATGGCCTTTCACCTGTGATCACCTGGAAAGGGTTAATACAGTCCTACCAAACACCATAACAAAGCTTTTCTTTAAAAGAAATAATATAAGAAATAAATTAATTTATTATTCAAGTACCACTTATTCAAGATACATTTATAAGCAACAGAAAGCATGCTAATTCACAAACAGTTTCTTGACAGTTGTTTTTACTGTAATGTTATATAATGATTAACAAGTCCTCTTTTGTTTCAAAATGAATTCTAACTTGGAGATAGTAAGAGTGACATAATTTTTTCAACCATTTTATGATAAGGGAGTACTGTCTCCCAAGATATGGTAAGCAGGTGTATAAGGGAAGTTTGGGTTACCTCATCCTTTCTAGCCTTTCACAAAGAAATTACTTTCGTACAAAGCATTCTTTTTTGAAATGGCTACCCTAAGCATTTCTTAGGGAAAATAACTTCTTAACAAATTTGTTTGTCAAACCACCTAAGATATCCACTATTCCCAAACTACCTTTATACACCTGCTTACCATATCTTGGGAGACAGAGCTCCTTTACCACAAAACAGTTGAAACAATTATGTAATTCTTACTATCCCCAAATTGACCTGAAAGTTATTATGAAACCCAATTCTAACTTGTTTTAAAAATGATTTTCCTGAATTTCAGCATTTATATTTTAACAACAATTTCAATATTTGTATATATATGTGTCAAATATTTATTTTCTTTTTCACCAGAGTTGAGATTGAAAAGAGAATCTATAATGTATAGTCCTAATGCATTCTTTGATTGGCCATACACTCTGCTGTGGACTGCAGATTCACCTATTCATGGCTCATCAGCACAGCTTGGGTAAGCAAACCAAAGAAATACCATTTATTTTAGGCCTATTATAATGGTGAAGTGTATATAATATCCATGGAAATTTCAATATTTACTTCATATAGCTTACACAATAAACTTCATTATGGCTGAATATCTTCTTACAAGTTTAATATTTTTTTATGGTAATGGGTCTCAGTGCATAATAATGCTTTACGTTTCATTTAGTTGTACTTCATATGCATTTCTAACTAAAAAACCTCATTCCAATTGTTCATTTTCTTGGTAATATTTAGTAAGGCCCCATTACTAAATTAAGCAGTTACATCTAATACAAAGTCATCTATGAACAACTGATACTATTAAAATTCTAATTGTAAGTAATGAATATAATGTGTATTATTTCAGCATTCTTTAAAAGATATCAAATTAATATATCTTTTCAGCATTATAAATTCGAAAAGCATTTGAGTTTTGTTTGTCTCTAAAACCACGTGTTATTATCATAAGTTCAAATATACATTTTCAAACATCTATTTAGACATTAAATAAATTCAAGTTTAAGTGGATGATTATTCAAACTTATCACTGACCTTCCATTTTAAAACTAATACCTCTTATACATTATAGCACAGAATCTTCTTTGTCAAACTTTATGTTCACTGTGGAAGACAGGAACATTTGTCAAAAGTGGAGTTGGGCAATTAGTAGCATTTGTTATTTGATAAACTGACAGCCCCATTAATTTATTACATTCAATTAATCGATTAATACACTGTTCCTCAAACCATGGTATGCACAAGCAAAGAAAATATAAAGTTGGCAGTGGATGCTGCCAGCCAATTACCTTCCCTCTAGGCAGCAATTCAAAAAGAATTGAAAGTTGGTGGCAGGTAGCTAGTTGCCTTCCCTCTAGGCAGCAATTCAAAAAGAATTGAAAGTTGGTGGCAGGTAGCTAGTTGCCTTCCC